TACAAGATATTAAAGACATTTTATCAAGATTAAAATACTTCAAGATTATAAGAAGAATCTGTAAGTAAAAATGGATTTTTCAAAACACATCAAGCCTCTTCAAAATGAATTGGATTATCCAATCTGGAAACGCAAGATGCGTGATTTATTGGATTATCATGAAGGAGCAGTTGATGTTATAGATGGTAAGTTAGTGAAACCAATACCACTACCAACCACCGCAACAGCTGAAGAAAAGAAGATACACAGAGATGAAACAGATTTGTTCAGAAAGGCAAATAGTTATGCGAAGTCTATGATTACAAGCGCAGTAAGTGATGAAGTATACCAAAAGATAATGGATAAAGAAACTGCTGCAGAAGCTTGGGAATCATTAATGCTACAATTTGAAGCGAGATCCAAAGATCAATTATTCAAAATCTGTATTGATTTCTTTTCGTTCATGTGGAACACAAATGAAGATGTGAGTCTACATATTGCAAAACTAAAAAGCCTATGGATGGAACTGAACAACGGTTTAAAAGCAAGGAACGAAAATCAACTGCCAGATGTTTTATTAGTATGTAAAATTCTTCAGATTTTGCCAACACAATTTGATACGTTTAAATCAAGCTGGATGCTTTTAACCAAGAATGAAGAAAAGAATTTTGATGAAATGTCAGCACAACTATGTATGTATGAAAGAAATTGCAAAGGAGCAAATGTTGTGAAAAATGATGAAGCTTTAGTGGTGAATAATTTTAAAAAGAAGTCATCATCAGCAAGTAACAAACAGAATAAGAAATCTGATGTCTGTAATTATTGCAACAAGAAAGGCCATTGGGTACGTGATTGCAGAAAATGGATTAACGACGGTAAGCCAGTAAAAGAAAAGATTAGTGAAGTAAAATGTACATCTCACCGAATACTACCATTAATTTGTGACGAAATAAACGCAATTAATGAAGATTTTTCAAATGATTGGTGGATTGATAATGGTGCAACCCGCCATGTTACGAATAATAGAAGTTTATTTAAAACCTTTGAAAAATTTAATAACTCGTGCAAAATTAAGGCTGCCGGTAAAGAAATTTTGGATGTCCTTGGGAAGGGAACTATAGAGATCAAATCAAAAGTAAACAACAAGGTACTCATATTTGATCTGACAGATGTTTGGTATGTTCCAAACATATCCAGGAACTTGTTCTCTGTATTGTCTACCCAAGATAAAATAAATAATAGTGAATTTAAGTCGACTGCTACTGTCTGTAAACTTTTATCAAACAATGAAGTTTTGTTAGTTGGACATCGAGAAAAAGGAGGTTCCCTATACAAAGCAGATATCGAACCAGTCATCCCAAGAACAATAAATGAAGTTAACTCTACAGAAGCTGATAATACCTTGCAATTATATCATGAGCGATGGGGACATCAAGATAAACGACATGTTCAACAAAAACTCAAGACAGAACTTGGTATTAATGTTAAGTTAGACAACAAGTTATGCGAATCCTGCATTTATGGAAAGTCTCATCGGCAACCATTTGGAACTAGAGAGAAGGCTAGTAGTCCAGGCGAGTTAATGTCATCCGATGTATGTGGTCCATTTCCAGTATCTTTTAGTAAAAAGAAATATTTAGTTATATTTAAAGATTCATATACTAAATACTGTTTTGGCTACTTACTAAAAGAAAAATCTGAAGTTAAAGATGCACTGAAATAAGTTTTAGCTCTTGCAAAGAACCAAGAAAATCCAATTAAAGAATTTTTGAGCGATAATGGAGGTGAGTTTGATAATTATGAAATACGTAAAATTTTAAAAGAATATGGAGTGACACAGAGGTTGACTGCTCCTTATACACCACAACAAAACGGTGCAAGTGAACGAGAAAATAGAACAGTGATTGAAATGGCTCGAACGTTTAAGTATTCAAATAAGAGCGTTAAATTTCCTGAAGCCATTTGGGCTGAATTAGTTCGCACAGCCATATACATACTAAATCGAACTCGAAAGACTTCTGTTGAAGGTAAGAGCCCACATGAGCTATGGTTTAGAAGAAAGCCTAGAATAAATCATTTAAGAATAATTGGAAGTGAATGCTATGCCCATGTTCCTAGTCAGAAGAGAAAGAAAATGGATCCAAAAGCAACCAAGGGCTACTTAATTGGATATGACACAGAAGAACGTTACCGAATTTATGTAAAAGAAAATCACAGTATATTATTATCAAGAGATGTTAAGTTTAGTGAAGAACTAATAAATTGTGATGATTTTCAAGATGCTAGTGAGAATATTTCGGATAACAGGAGTGGTGAAATTATATTAAAATTTAAAAATTACGAAAAGCCAATTGAGGAAGTGGATCTAAGCAAGCCAAGCACTTCTCAGGACAGTCAGTATGCTGTAAGCGAATCCCAACCTAGTCACCAGGAAGATAATTCAGATACTGAAGAAAACGAATTTTATGAAGAGTGTATAGAAGATGGTTATTCAGACTCAGATGTAAGTGATTTCCACGGTTTCGAGGTAAATAAGCGTAAGAGATCATTTACTAATGACGATGAGGAACCGATGAGCAAACGACTTAGAGATCGCACCTTATTACATAATTCAAGATTTGATGATTACGTTATGGCGTCCCAAGATTTCGTAAGTCAAATTGAAACTCCGGTTACATTTGGCGATGCAATTAATAGCGCAGAAAAGAAAGAATGGATGAAAGCCATGAATTCCGAAATGAATTCGTTAAAGGAAAACCAAACGTGGGAAATGGCTGATCTCCCAAAAGATTCCAAAGCTCTGCCATCAATGTGGGTATTTAAAGTGAAAACTAATCCTGATGGAAGTATAGACAAATATAAAGCAAGATTGGTAATAAAAGGCTTTAAACAGCGTAAAGGTGTAGATTACAATGAAACATTTAGCCCTGTAGCCAAATTGGGAACAATTAGAGCTATTCTAAGTGTAGCTGCTAGTCAAAACATGCATATATCTCAATTTGATGTTTCAACAGCGTTTCTTTATGGTCATCTTGAGGAAATTATTTATATGAAACAGCCCGAAGGTTTTGATGATGGTACTAAGAAGGTATGCAAACTTAAAAGAAGTTTATATGGATTGAAGCAAGCCCCACGATGCTGGAACCGAAGATTTGGGAAGTATTTATTGGAGCTTGGTTTTAAGGCTAGTGAAGCGGATCCATGCTTATATATGAGAGATAAAAATGGTAAGAAGTTAATACTTGCCCTATATGTAGATGATGGCCTAGTAGCTGCTACAGATCCCAAAGAGTTGGAAGTGTTTTTAACAGAATTAAGAAGAGAATTCAAAATAACTACCAAAGATGCAAGCTATTTTCTAGGATTGGAAATAAAAAGAGATGATAATGGCATTTTTATTAACCAAGAGGCGTACGCAAAGAAGGTCTTAGAAAGATTCAGATTTTCAGAAAGCAGATCGGTTTCCTCGCCAATGTTAAAAGGTGAAAGTTTCGAACCAGGGAAAGAAAACATGAAGCCATCATGTATTTAATGTTGGGAACAAGACCTGATTTAGCCTATAGTGTTGGGTTCCTGTCTAGAACGTTAGAAAATCCTTCCAATGATGATGTTATCCGTGTCAAAAGAGTTCTTCGCTACATATCTGGAACAGTAAAGTACGGAATTTCTTATAAAAACAAGTCAGACCAAAAACTTAAATGCTACAGTGATGCAGACTTTGGTGGATGTTTAAAAACAGGAAGGTCCACAACAGGTGTTATTGTGAAATTTGCTGGAGGAGTTATTTCATGGTTAAGCCAAAGGCAAACTATGGTTGCTACATCCACAACGGAAGCCGAAATAGTAGCAGCCTCAGAAGCAACAAAAGAAGTTATTTGGATAAGGCGCTTATATGCAGATTTAATTGGTTTGAATGACATTCCTTTACTTTACGTTGATAATTCTGCTGCTGTACGATTGGCCCAAAATCCACAATATCATAGACGAACAAAACATATTAGTTTGAAGCACTTCTTTGTTCGTGAAAAAGTCAGTGAAAGAGAACTTGAAATTCAACAAATTTCTACTCAAGATCAATTAGCGGATTTGATGACAAAACCCTTACAACCTACAAGATTGAAGATGCTTTGTAATCAGATCGGTTTAGAAATCTCCAACATCACATAACAAGGGAAAGTGTTGAATTAAATTGTTATGTTATGTATAATACTTTGTATATTGATTGTATTTTTATATTAGTAATATTTGTATTTGTTGATTTTTCAATTCTCATAATATTTTATTCGAAATAAAACATTTACTACAAAAGATTTTAGTTTTTTTTCACCAAAATAGAAACTTTTAAAATTTATCTGGAATTTTATTTTCAAATTTGTAAACGTTAAAATTACAATTTTTAGATTTCATTTCATAATAAAACATGATTAGTTTCCGCCTTCAACCTAAAATTAATGAAAAAGCACAATCAGAGACAAAATTTTTAAGAAATCAACTTATTGTTGGCTTAAAGTAGGGTCGAGAGTACAATAAATTTTTTCTATTTGTCATTGGTTTATTGAAGGTATTTTAAGCTATTTGACGTTTTTGAATACCATTTTCGTGGATTTTGCCTAATAATGTTTAATAAACCTAAAATAACTTTTTATGAATACAACCGTATAACTTTAGATCTAATCGTCTGGTTGCATATTAATTATTGTAATTAAAATATGTATAACTTTAAGATTGATAAAATTTTATCAAACAGTTATTCCATTAAATTTTACAAATAAAAATTGTTAATTAATTAATAAAAAGATTAACCAAAGATGCGTTCGAAAAATATGCTCTAGTTCCTGGTCTCCAATATTTTTAAAATTTAGACGGGCTGTATTTTTATTTACTTCAAAATTTAACTGGTATAACAGAAAAAACCGGTTGACCCTAGTGGAAATACATAAATTTCAAAAAAAAAACGCAGCTATCGTCGCAAAATTTTAAAATACAGCTAAAAACTTGGCCGACTTAAGTCGATTTTAAGCCGCCGCTAAAATGTGTAGTGTCAGCCGCCGTGGCTGTTAATGTTTGTCGACGTAGAGCTCCGTTCGTGAACCATTTTTCAGTGCATTTTTGTAAACGTAAACAATTTAAATTTCGCGAAAAAATATAAATAAAAATGTTACAAAGTATTTACGAATTACCATTTCATATTTTGGTACCTCCAAATATTAAGCTTCGTATACATATTCCAAAACCATCTCCCTTCTTCATTTTCTGTTGTATCTTGGTATCATACTTTTTGGTGACTGGAGGTAAGGAGCAATGAAGTTTTGTGTAGAATATCACAATTTCTAAATATCTAAGGACATACATATGTATGATGTAATAAGTGCATCCTGGGCATATATTAGTAAATTTATTTGATATCTGTTTGACGATTTCAGAAAATCTTCGTTTGACACGGCTTTGAATGAAAAAAAATTTAAGCCGGCTGCAAAAAACTACAACATAAAATGTACATACATACATACATAAATATTAACATTAGGGTGGCTCCGTTCGGGAGAAGAACAAAACACCGAAAATTAAAATTTTCATTCGAAGATAACGTTTCTCGAAAATTATGTCCTGGATTCATTATTTAGTAAATTGGTATAGGGCGTTATTCATAATAAAAAACTAAATACTAACAAACGGGCCGTTGTCATTCCTTTATGGAAATGTACACACACAAAAGTTAGCATTATTAATAAGGACGATACAGTTTTGGAACTCGTTAAGACCTTGATGAAATCTTATTTTTGGAAGCAGTAAAAATCCTATATTTGGGTTTAAAAACAAATCGCATTCTTTAATATAAAAATTAACTGATAGAAATTAAAATATTTTTCTTATTGTGAAAAACCTAAGATATTATTATTAGATTAACTAAACGACATAAAACAGACTTTAAAAGCCGAAGGGAAATGGCTGAAACAAAAATATGTTAGAAGAACAATGGTTTTTTTAATTTTCTGGCAAAATTTACGGTGTGGGAACCGAGTATTAGTTCGACACCCAAACTAGCTACGCCAATCTCCATCAATGTCCTGAGTGTGAGGGGAGTTCTGGAGTGACTTGATTTGTGGCAGTAAATCCACTGGCGTATTGTTCTGAGTACTAAAATATGTTTTTAGAGTAATCCTTGGAGGCATTAACGGGAGAGGAACTGTTAGCTGTTGTTTGTCTATTTGACATGAAGGTTGTTGGACGTAATATAAAAGAAGAAAAGAGAAGACATATCGTCACCTTAAATGCAAAAGGGCGTAACAACCAAAAATTTTAAAATAGACTTTTTGATTGAAAATGATGCACAGCGATTTATTTAAATGTGATTTAAAATAATAATAATGCTAATTCAGATATGCCCTTCTATATGATATGGACCGATTTTATAGAAATTAAGTTCATCGATATACTCACTGTTTTGAATTATTAAAAGAGGTCCTCCTTTGAGGAAATCAATTATAAGAAGTAATTGAATATACAATTTTTGTTATAGGTTGAACTTCAATAAATAAAATAATTGAAAACGAGGTTTTGGTAATTGAAATCGTTTTTCAGTTTTTTCTGTGTAGAAATTTATTTTAATAATAAAAAAATCAATAAAAGTGTTTCTTTTATTAAAATAAACACAGATTTTCATGTGAAAGTAGTGACAATTGTCAAAATTTCATGTAATCAAAAAAGATTTCGTTTGGCACAAAAGTGATAATATTTTCCATCATAAGATAGCACAACGTATCTTAGATCTACTTTATCACGATTCAAATATTTGTAAGTCATTTATAAATGTTAAAGATGATATTGGTTGAGGTCAAATGGTCTGATCTACATTAAATTTGATAGAGGGGTTATATAATACTTCTTTAGGCTTATACTAGTATAGTTGATTCATCGCTTAATTAGCATTTTTAAGAATATTTTGTGTGTTAAAGTCAATTTCTGCCAGAGATTGTTATATGGGAACTAGAGTCAAATTTGGACTAATCTTAAAGATTCTTTATAGTATGACTCTTATTTATTTATTTATTTATAAGTTATCTTAAGATAAGAAATTAGGATAACTTATTATTACGAAGCAATGGCAACTAAGGCCTTCAGCTAGATGAAATGTAAATACAAATAGTCAATAATTACATATAATATAATAGATTATATAATAGATAATAGATATAATAGATTTCATGTGAAGTTATATACAATTAATATTCTAGAAGAATTATATGTACAAATAAATCAAATGTCTTGGACCTGATCTCATCGTGTTCATTCCTGGAATACATATTGACATCCTCAAGACACTCCCTTAACAGATCTACAACCTTCCCTTTCTGATTCGTACCAAACAGCATGACAAAAAATTCAATATCATAGTTTCAGAGATGGAACCTAGTATCAAAAAAATTTTAAGTATGTATATGTATGTATGTAAATATGAAATTTGTAAACATATTTAATACAAAGAAAACAAAACACAATTTGTGCTAGAAAAATTCAAAAATATGTAAAATATGCAATAAAATATTAGAAATAAGCAAAATATGTAATTTATGCATTTATAACAAAATATGCAACAACGAATCGATGCCATTTCGTAGCAAAATATTTTAGGGTTTTAGACTACAATACATTTTCAAATAATACTTTGTATTGATACAAAATCACATAACGTAAAACGCCCTTTAAATTTATCCAGTAAATAACAAAGGTTGGAAAGAATGAAAAATTTTTAAATTCAATTTGGAATAGATTGAATTAAAACAAAATTTTTATCATTCAGAGGGAATTTAAAAATCAATAGGAATTGTAGAAATTTAGTAAATAACAAAGATTGGAAAGAATGAACAATTTTTAAATTCAATTTGTAATAGATTGAATTAAAACAAAATATTTATCATTCAGAGGGATTTGAAAATCAATAGGAATTGTAGAAATTTATTTTAATTCAATTTGTATCAGATTGAATGCAAACAAAATTAATTCATTCAGAAGAAATTTTACATTCTATACGAATTAATTAATTAGAGAATTAATTCAACTACATCGAAAGCTTTAAGAATTAATTCTAGGAATTAAATCATGGGGAATGAGTTTAAAATGGTTAATTCTTTAACATATATGTATGTAACTCAATTTCAAAAAAAGAATTAGGGAATGAATTCTTTTAGAGCTTTGGTTAATAATAATCCCTATAAATTTTCTACAAATTATGTTTATTTTCTTTTTTAAATACATATATGTACATATATATTATATTTATATTTTTTAGGAATCATATATGATGTTATTGTGGAACCACCAAGCGTTGGTGCTACTGTCGACGAAAATGGACATTCTAGACCTGTAGCCTTTATGCCTTATCGTGTCAATGGACAGTACATTATGGAAGGATTGGCGAGCAGTTTTCTTTTTACAATAGGAGGACTTGGATTTATTATAATGGATCAGACACATGCCCCAGGAAAAACGAATCTTAACCGTTTATTGCTCACTTCTATGGGATTCATATTTATTTTAGTATCATTCTTTACAACTTGGCTGTTTATGCGAATGAAATTGCCCAGTTATTTACAGCCATAAATTTATTCGAATCTCAAATGTAGCAGACAAGATTAAACTATTTGCTCATTTCACATAGTATTACTAACACAAATGCAATATGTGCAATTCACGAATAAAGATGTATTAGATTCAATATAATTTTGCGATTTAAAAAAAAGAATACTATTACGATTTATTGAAAAAGTTCTATTATTCCCTTTTTTAGACTCAACATACATTTAAGATTTGTTTTTTAAGATATGTATTTGTACATACATTATAATTATGCTTAAATAAATAATAAAATACAGTCTTTAACAGGCAATCGCCGTGTTAACTTCGTGTTTTTTCTTAGCGGTTATTCTGTTTTGGATTTTTCTACTGAGATATTCAGTTTGGCATTTTGTTTTTGATCAATTTTTCAATTTAAGTTAGAGTAAAGTAAAAGGACTTTTAATTTGGAAAGGTTGATAAGGAATTTTTCAGGATGAACGGGACTGACCCTCCCAATCATAACAGGTTCAGCATACTTGATACCCCAACAACTAAAAATTCCCACAAGAAAAATAAGAGATTAAGAGTTGATGATTTTGTACCGTTACCCGAAGTTGTAAGAAATGAAGACCACATACCTCGATACTTAGTAGCTTCAACAATCCCAGCTACAAATGCCTCTGAAACTAAGCCACTTTCCTCGTATAATGTATTCCAAATAGAAAAAGGACTAAACTTTATTTCTAGAGACTACGTTGATATAACAGAAATGCGGAGTGGTGATCTGTTAATCAAAGCATCCCATATGAAATCAGCGCAGAAATTTCTAAAGGCAAAATATATTGACAATGTTCCTGTGAAGATAGAAATGCATAAAACCCTCAACTCTATTCAAGGCAGATTTTTCTCCAGAAAAATTATCGACATACCCGAGGATGAATTGATAAAATCATTGGAAGATCAAAAGGTTATTGATATTAGAAAAATTAGTAAAAAAGAAGGCGATAAATTTATTCCTACTGGTGCGGCTGTGGTAACATTTGATCTTATACATCGACTATTTAAAATTAGGTTGGGAAAGGGTACGTGTGGATGAATACATCTCTAATCCAGTCACGAGCAAAACTGAAATTCTAATGCACGCGTGCATAGGCCAAGAAATTCTGCTGACGCTTTGTTGACACACCTACACTATAAGCTTGTGTGTATTAGTGTGTCTGTGTTTTACTAAAATGACCACTTGTTTGTTGCTTTGTTACGATCTCAGAGATCAAAATCAAATCAGTTGCTGTTCAGCTTTTGTAGAAGCAAGATCACGTTGCGGATTTTTTTATGCTTATGATTTTTTCTCTTTTATTACACCTAGCAAAATGTTTGATATAAATTGGGAAAATGATTTCTTTTTTATAGAAAACATGGACGGTGAGGCACAATGCGTCGTATGTTATAAAATTATATGTAGAAAAGCTTTATTTTTTTTGAAAAGGCATTATGAAACTTGCCATGGACCCTTAAATGACCTAAGGGGACATGACAGAAAAGTAAAGTTGTTGCAATTAAAAGGTTAACCGATCAACACATTGGTGACTTATTGCGTATTAAGGAATATAAAGGAAACATTGATTTGGATAGATTAGTTGAACTTTAAATTAAGTTCAGTTAATATCTCGGTAATATCCCTTAAAAGTTCGAAATCGAATAGAAAGTCGTGATTTTCTTAATGATATTTCAGTAGTTTTATTTAATACTACTTTTTAAAAATACTACTACTTTTCTTAAATGAAAAACTCTTTCCCTTTATTCCATTTTTGTTTAAAATGCCCAAAAGTTCATGAGTTTTTCTCGTCGTAAAAAGTAATTGCAATAGAAAACAAATTTCAAAACTTTTCTCAGTGTACCACCATTTTGTTATAACGTGCAGTCATCTCTCTGCTGCTTAACGCACACAAATATACACATGGTGGTATGTGTTTGCCCATGACTGCTCTAATCCAATGAGATGCGTCAACTGTCAGAAGTTGGGACACACAAAGAATAGTTGCAAAAACATTGAAATTTGTAAAGAATGTGGTTATGTTCCTCCCCATGAACAATGCATAAGAAAATTCTGTGTCAACTGTAACTCTGAGTCTCATACATCTTATGACTCTTTATGTCCATCTTTCATCAAACATAAATCTGTGAATAAAATAAAGGCAAATAGAAGATGCACTGTAAGAGAGGCCTGGAAAGTTTTCAATGAGAATCCATCTATCCATACAATTAAACCATTCACTAAAAACAGTTTGACATTCTCTGACATAGTACGTAACAATAATTCTAATGCAAAAAGTGATCAACCACCTACAAAAGAAAATACAAATAAAGCTCTCGACGAAAAGGAATCAGAATCAATAAACTTCCTTAATAACAAGAACAACACAACTGAAAATAAGAAAAATAATAACGTTAACAACAATACCAACTCAAGCGACAACAACAAAATCGACAACATCAACACAAACAACAACAGCAAAATCAACAAATCTATAGAACAAGACACTAACAACAAGATTAACAAAGCAGTAGAACATTCTTTTTTAACTGAAAATCAGGGTACAGATAGCGATCGAATTCAATTCGCTCGCGAGCGAGTTTAATTCGAGCGATTTAAATAATTCATTTTCCGGCGAATAAATCTATTCGACTCGCGAGTTTAATTTTTAAACTCGCGATAAGAGTTGAAAATTTAAAGAGCGTAAAATAGAACTCGCTCGCGATTCGAGTCAAAACGAGTTAATCGCGAGTTTTATAATTTTGTAAATAGAATAAATTTAAATTTATAAGGCATAATCAATTTATATATAAATATGACATAACCAAATAAGTTTCCCATTAAAATTACGTACACAAATACATATGTAGGTACATTATTTGCTGCAAAGTAGTTGACACTTCGTACATACCTACATACATACATACATACATACATACATACATACATTTTCTTTCTTATAAATATATTGAAAACAAAATTTTTAATTTATTTGTTGTTTTCAATATATTTGTAAGAAATAAAATGTTCTTTGGCATTTAGAGAAACCGGCAGTAATAAATAAAAAAAATGTTTGAAGATCACTTGCATGTCCATCAATATACACATGTACATACATAACTACAGATAAAAAACATACACATTTAAATAAAAAGGTAGACAATATATTTCTTATACTTTCCCACTTTTGCTTTGTCAGACCGTCATAAAACCTACGGCTACACAATAACACATACATAATTATTTCCCATATTATTGGTTCTTTTTTACTACCACAACAGAACCTGTTTCTTGCACACACACTTTGCTGATTTTCGGCTCGAATTTAACTCGAATTCAACTCGTTTTCCACTCGCTCGTAAGCGAGTTGAAAAAACAAAAACATGTAAATATCGCTTACGAAGCGAATACAAAACACATAAAACTCTAATTAAAATTGTGCTCGCGTGTTGAAAAATAAAACTCGCGATTTTGAATTTTAAAACGAGCGATATAAATAAAATAGCGATCGCGAGCGATATTTTTACCTACCCTGCTGAAAATCCCGTTACATCTTTTGACGACAATTCAGCAATGAATGTCGATAATAATATTATCGATTTAGAGAAGGAAATCGACGTTGATTTTTCAACTATTCAATCACAACATTCAAATGAACTTTTACTAAGCACACCACCAAATAATTCTGTAGGCAATACAGAATTAACCCCTTGCAGCAGTTTGTATAAAAGATTTCCAAGTTTAAATGTTTTAATAACTCCAAATACACTTAGAAACACCATGCCTCAAACTGAAGATGTAATTGGCGAGTAATTTTTAATTTTATCAGTCATCATGGATATTAATTTGAATATTTCGGTACTGCAGTGGAACATTCAGGGTTTTGCTACCCACAAATATGCTTTGGAGAACATAGTCGCAAAATATAAGCCCAATATAATTGCTCTCCAAGAAACACATATCATTAACAAGAATGTACAATATTTACATCTTCCAGAATATAAAGTATACCATCATAATAAAAGTTTTGATTATGCCAAGTCTGGAATAGCTCTTTTAATTCAGAATAATATTAATGTAATACAGCACATTAAATCAACTGGTGAGCTTTTGTTTTAGACTGTAACAATTAAAGGAAATTGTAATTTGAATATTACGAATATTTATAAAGAATGTGATATTTCTTTAACGAATAATATGGTTAATACTATAACAAGAATTGATAATGAACATCACTTAATTGTTGGAGACCTTAATTCTCAGAACACTTCATGGGGTTCTCAGTCTACATCAGGGGATGGTTTTATCTGGGAAGAGTTTGCTAATGATTTGAGTATGGTAATATTGAATGATGGTTCACCCACACTCCTAAATACACGAAATACCCTAACTGCAGTTGATGTCTCCATGGCAACTGGGGACTTAGCTTCTTCTCTTACTTGGTCCACTTTACATTCTCCAGAAGTTGCAGATCATTTTCCGATTTTAATTAATAACAATAAAATTACATATAAAAAACGATTCCAACCTAAATTTTTGGAAAACCGAGCTAACTGGTCTAATTATTCATCGAAAATAACTTCAATTTTGGAGGATTTTCCTCAATCAACCAATGTCAATAGGGAATCTGCCCAAATAAAAAGGATTATCAGAAAAGCTGCCAATGAAACAATTCCGCAGAGCAAACAAATTAATGATAAAAACTCCCCTGCATGGTTTAACACTTCTATAGCAAAACTTATAAGGAATAAACATAAGGCCTGGAACCTTTTTATGAGACATAGAAGTCCGACAAATGCCATAAATTATAGGAGAGCGACAGCTTTGGTGAAAAAAGAATCTAAAATTGCAAAGCGGGCTACATGGGACAATTTTTTGAATTCTTTAAATCCTTTGTTAGATGTACGTACATTGTGGTCTAGAGTTAATAACATTAAGGCTGAAAGAAGATGTCATTTCCCAACTATATTTGATGGTAATATTAGTATTGAAGACCCAAGTGATATTGCAGATAAATTCGCAGAATATTGGTGTTCGGTTGGTTCAGATAGAATTTTTAATACTGCTATAATAACGAAAAAACGTTCTTACATCTCACTTCAAGATGATTCATCTGTAGGTGCAAACAATTATCTTTGTAATGACTTTACCATCGATGAACTCAATCATGTACTCAGTAAAGTCAAAGGCACAACACCATCAAGTGATCGAATAACATACTCAATGATTAAAAATTCACCAATTTCACTGAAAAGAAGACTTTTACAGCTATACAATAATATCTTAAAAAGTGGCATTTATCCGCACGACTGGAAATTTTCTCTTCTTACACCCATCCCAAAGCTGGGAAAAAACCCGAACAGACTCGAAGGTTATCGTCCTATTTCCCTGATACCTGTTTTATCAAAGGTCTTGGAAAAATTAATTACGACCAGGTTTGGCAAACTAGTTGTGGATAATATTTCTCATGTACAACACGCATTTCTTCCTAAACGCGGCATTCATACAATGTGTCACCAACTTGAGAACAAATTGAGGCAAAATTTAGCTAAGAAAAAACATAGTGTGGTGTTATCGGAAGACATAGAGAAAGCTTTCGACCGTGTTGTATCCACTTTTGTTTTGGATGAAATGCTTGAATGGGGTGTACCTTTCCAAAAGATTAAGCTACTTTATTCGTTCCTTTCCAATCGTATGGTGAAGGTGAGAGTTGATGGGTATTTTTCTTCCATGCATCATTTGGATAATGGGGTTCCGCAAGGTTCTCCGTTATCAGTGGTTTTGTTTAATGTATATGTCAATTCTCTGGCTAAATCGATTGAGGCAATCCCGGGCATTGATTTTGTTGGCATATACGCAGATAACATTTTTGCAGTCGCATCTGGAACACCACGTGCTGTTTCTGCCAATCTTAAGCTTTTGAATAATAAAATACAAAGTTGGGCCACTTCTAGAGGTGCTGTAATTCCGGAAAACAAGTCCGAGTTGCTGCATGTTTGTAGAAGGAGAAAGTGTTGCAATCCGACTGTTTTTATTGGCAATTATGAAATTACTTGTGCTAATCAAATGAGGATACTAGGTTTTATTTTTACGAAGAACTTATTATGGAATGAAAACGTAAAACTGGTAACTTCCAAATTACGAAAAATAAACAATCTTCTAAAATTGATATGTTCGAAAAGAAAAGGTCCACATATTGATATTGCCATTAATATATGCAAAGCTTTATCCCACGATTTAGTTATGCACGGTATATCCATTTATGGTTGGACATCTAAGGGAAACGTTAACAAAATAAATGCAGCTTTAAATGATTGTTTTCGTTCTGCTACTGGTCTATTAAGAACAACACCAATTGAATCACTGCGAGTTGAAAGTAAATCGGCAGATTTTATTAGTTTGCTAAATAAAAGATCGGTCAATTTAGCGTCTCGATCATTTACTGATCATAATGAAGGGCTTCACAACTTATTCTGGAACATTATCAATACTAAACCGAAAAAGAACATTTGTTCAATAAGAAAAATTTTGTTCTTTCTTGGGGAAATTGGCATACCAATACCGGAAAAACCTGAAAATTGTGATAGTTTCGAGAATAATGTAGCTGTGGATTTTAGTCTATCTGTATATGGCAAGTCTAACACTTCACCTGAAATGTTTAAATCTTTGATCGCGGAAAAATTGGCTAAATTCTCTGCTGAATTGGAATTATATACGGATGGTTCTTTCCAGAATGGTTTAACATCTTATGCTGTTGTGGAACATCAAATTGACTCAAATTGGTTAGTTGTAAGACAAAGTCAATTGCCGGTATATGCTGGTGTTTTTTTGGCTGAACTTGCTGCTATCAGTGCAGCAATTTATTATGCCATTCAGAAGAACTCGAGAGCCATAATATGTACCGATAGCCTCAGTGTTGTCAAGAGCATTTTTTATAATAAAAATGATATCTATGACAATATATTGAAAAATCCAGCTTTACATCAGCCTATTCTTATTTTATGGATTCCTTCTCATATTGGCATAACTGGTAATGAGCTTGCAGATAATGCAGCAAAGGAAGCAATCAAATTTCCGCTCATAATTGAAGTCCCTTGTCACCATCATGTCTTGAACAATATTTATAAGATAACATATAAATCTCAACAGCAACTTAAGTGGGATAATATCCGTATGTTTTCTTAGACAGCATAATACGTCATGTACAAGGCCTAAATATTATGAAAATTTCACCAGGCTGCAGTGTATAGAATTAGCTCGTCTAAGAGTTGGTAAGGCGCTTTTTAATTCTCAACATTTCTATAACCGAACAGAACCACTTCTGTGCACCACCTGTCATCAAGTTATGAATGTTTACCATGTCCTGAAAGAATGCCCAAGGTCCAAAATGGCTAATTCATTGGATAAGATTCTTCATTGCTCTGATCCACATCAGTTACCGAATATTAAAAAATCTTTTCATATACATAATATTTATGATATTTAAATTAGTATCCTAAGATTTCAATGTACATACATATTTTTAATTTTGTAAATAGTTTTAATTTTTTTTATCTAACTTTAAATTTTTCATATTTTGCGCGCAATATGGTCTAGTTACCCTGC